CTTTTTGTTCGATTAATACGAATATATCTCTGCGGTGGTGAAGTACGTCAGATTCACTCTTCAATTTCAGGTGAAAATATTCACTCGACGATTCAGAGTTGCGAATTTACTCAACACAAGTGTTTTCTCACTCGAATTCCGGTGTCCACTTCAGTGAAGTTTTCGGTTGAAATTTCCGTTCAAGAAACTCAGACAGCAAGATAGTAAAAAATTGTAGTAAAAACTTGGAAAGAAATTACGAGACGACGCGCTTGGCACTTTGAATGATCATACACGCACACCCATTTTCATTGCCGGTCGTAATGAGAACAACAAATCCTCTCGTTCATTTGCTAATGGAGGGTAGAGTCAGTCGGAGAGGTCTTTGTAACCGCTTAACGGCGTAAATTCTCTTTACACACTCTGTGAAAAGGGAACGTACTCTTCGTAAGAGCCACTTGATAAGTTCGCGTTCCGAAGAACTTTGTTGATTTCACTTCTCGCTCGCGTCAAATCGCCGAACACTTGTTCTCTCCTAGCGGGTAGACCCGCTAGGGTGTGCGATCTACCGCGTCTACGAAACCGGGGAACTTCTATAATAAGAGCGTGCGCGTCTGACTCTCCATGTAACTTGGAACGACCTCATGGGATGCAGCTCGTCGCGACACTGCGCGGTGTCCAGATTTCGACCTCGCGGGTGATCTCTACAGAAGTTAGCGCCGACGCATCGAACATCGTATATCTTGCTGTGTGTTCGATATAATCAACGCATCAACAATATCGATGGTTCAGAGCACGGAGTTGATGGAAAATCTCATTAGCGCTTAATTAGATTTTGATGCTCGTCACATTCGGAGGAGGAAGAGCCAATGTTCGGAATCGCTGATTGGCCGATAAGAGATCCACATTCAATTACGCCGGAAACTTCGCTCGGGAGAGAAACCAATACTCATTTATGAATATCAAACGTTCATGAATAATCAGAAAGAAGAAGGAAGTCAGTCAGACCCTTCTACCGACGTATGAATCTATCGGTGCGAATTTCGCGAGGGTTTGTGTCTTCCCAATGCTGCGATTTTTATTCGAATTACGGATCTCGTCGAAACGTCGGTTCATATCGTAGCGATATTATCGAGCAGAGCGAGAAATTAGAGATAAGAATTGATGATATAATGTCTTCGTCTCACACGAATGCATCGTCAGCGATTGCGTCTTGGGACATCCGCCGCGCGGACGTTACATTTATTTGCCGACAGTTAAGTACACAGAAGAAACACGTAATTTACTGCGATATTAGCGTGTCTGCGCCGCCCCTTTATCCACCAATATTTCTATCCTACGCTATGTCCGTACGTTCTAAAGCGAATTTAATAAAGACAATCAAATAAGAACGCGCCACACTGGCTGATCCATTTATTAATAAGAAATTACGGGCACAAAAACCGAGCGACAATAATCATCTATAAAAAAAGATTGAAGTGGCAAAAGAGCGAAGTTAAATTCATGAGATGCGGAAACGTAATCGCGCCGATCATTCCTATTTATAATTACATAAACGACGCGACGTGTTGTCACGACTCCGCGCGGAAGAGGAATGAAGGTTGTGCATTGTCAGCCGCGACTAGGCATTGACATGAATCTTAGAATGTTGCAAACTCGTTGCGTCGTAAACTTCAGTCGCAGCACGGTACGCTTGGAGACACGACTTGCGTTTACGATTTTACAACGACGATTGTTCAACAAGTGAGTATGCGCTAAAACGTCCAGACGATCGTGGCGCTCTTATTACTTGAATTTTTCTTTCGAAACTTTGTTATCTTCGTGCTGCTCTCGTGTTGCATTTACACGTAATTTTCGCATGGTGTCGCGCTACACTCATCGAATTTTTTTCATTAAACCCAGCCCATTATATGCCTCCGTGTTACTTAAACTCTTACCTTTCGTGTTTATGATTTGCTCCTCGACGGTCCTGCCCAATCGCGGCTCTTCCTGCACCTGAACGATCCAACGAATTTTTCTCCGCTGCATCTGAAACAATCAACCACACAACACAATCACTCCCGGCGCAATCCGTGGGAATAGCGAAATTTTCAAACAAAAGCGTATCGCGCAACGCGTCGCGCAATTTTGCGATCAGTTCTAACCGCTAGACTGAATGAGATTAGTGGCGTAAGGCAGATTTAAAGTCGATGCGCGACGGTATCGGCGCGATTATTTTTTATGGACCGAGGTTCGCCGATAATACAGGCTGAAGTATTGCGTCTCGAACAGTAACTGTAATTCGTGACCTGTAGATTACTTCGAATATATTTATGATTCGAGACATGCGCGACATAGTGCACACGCAAAACGATTAAACACGCTCTTATCTAGATCTGAAAACGAACAAAATGTTGTTTTCGGATTCTCCGCTTGTCGCACGTGCTTGAAATTACGACCAACATCTCAGCGATATAAATAATACGTGCACACAGAAAAATATCTACTGTATTTCAGTAAATGTTGTTTGTTTGAAATATTTCGCAATTCTATACGTCTACAGATCTATCATAAGTTCATTGCGAGCATTAAATTCACTTGGAATTGTAGTAAATTTAATTCGTCTATTCAGAATATTAAATTAAAAGGGATATTAAGCTAAGAATTAAACATTAAAATGTGATGAAAAGAACCGAAAATAATTAATTCTTTTGAAAACATAATAATAAGCTTTTCTAAACTTTATGATGATTATATTCCAAGACTATTATTAAGAAAGTAGCTATTATTTAAAAAAAGCGGAACAAACTGAGTAGAAAGAAATTTTTCTGTGCATGCGGATACAATTATATATCGTATCACATTTCCTTGATTTCTCAATTTTTTAGCATGTATATTATTAATGAACACTTTTTATCACTACATATATTTACACGTAAACCTATTATTTTTATTCTTCATGAGACGCTATATGTTGATAATCGAGAAAACTTGGGTATATAATGGACATAAACAATTTTCTCATACAATTAATAAGAGAGCTTTCGTTGCTAACGACAAATCACTTCAGTGTCCGTCAATTAAAAGCAATTGCAACACGTTGTATGGGTGTGTGTATATGTTAGCTTTGGACATTTACGATTCATTGCGCGCCAATCTACATAGGCGCGCGTACAAACGGTGCTCGCACAGACTGAAAATGATTACGCGTATTCTATTGTATAATTATTAACGGAAACACAGTTAACGCTTAGCGCGTGAAGAGAATGACAGCACGACTGTTTCTCTATGCAATTCAACATCGCGTAATTCACGCCTTGTCGTAATTCACTGTCGCGATCGCGAAATCGCGGACGCGCGGATCGCGTTGCTTCGGGAACGGCAATGACAACGGCGGCAACGCGCACGCATCGACTACACCTGCGAGCGTATTATTTACCGTGCAGAAATCTTGTCCTGCGCGTCGAGAGAAAAGACGGAAAACGCTCGTTTTCCGTCCCGTTCGGCGGCGACGTCGCGCGCGCGACGACGCGACGGACGAGCGCTGACAGTGATTTGTCTGTCAACGGAAGTGACACCCCGGTCGACTGAACTGCCCTGATCATCCGAATGACTCTCGTTGCGTCCGACCGTGTGCACGCGTATCCACAGCTTCGACTTCGCCACGAGGAGAAATTGTTAGTAATACGCCTACACGTAGCGGTTTCGCCGCCGGCCGGCCGGCGCTAATGCGCGGGTGCGCGCTGCTGCACATCCCTCACCGCGAATTCCTCCAGCTAATCAGCTCCGACAAACATCATCGCGCCTACGCCTGCGATCGCCAACCTGTTACGCAGTATGAGAGCCTGTCGTAAATAAATGATTTCGCAATATACAGCTGCTTGGCATAAAAATCTTAGTCGATGTTCATTATACTATATCTCGCAGCTCTCGGAGAAATCTCAGCTTTTATGGATCGGAAAACACAGAAATAAAAAATTACACACTGAGTTTCAAATATTGTACGATTTGCTTTGCGGTTAAACGAATCTAAGTAAAATAGAATACGTTACTTTTTATCCGCCATATTCTACTCCTGAAGAGGCAAATCAGCATTGTCATAAGCATGAAAGTAATCAATATTAAAAACTACTGGGTAATGCAAAAGTTTTAATAGTTTTCTCAAAGATGTCGTGACTGGATCCAGTTTTATAGTAGCACCTGTAAATATATGTAAATGTACATATAATATATCAGAGATAATAGAAAATAATAGCGATTATTTAACAGAATAAGAAGAAATCGCTTTTAATAAAATTACATAATCCATATACATTTTTCTATCAAAACTTTTACACTCTCCCAACAGAAATGATATAACAATGTAAGTAAATTTTATACTTTTCTCAACAATGTTTTCATTGCATCCTTTAACTTAGCAGAGATAACTTTTAATCGTTAATGAATGATCCCCTCCATGATCTTCCGTCGTTTACTTCGATATGTTAAATATCGATTGATGTTTTAGAATATCAATCGAACGAAATAATTTCGCGTAGACAAAGGATGCGTTCTTCATCCTGAAGCATGCTTCAGTTTCATTTCTACCATGAATTCATTTTTCATGAATTCATGGTAGAGGAAAGGATTCATAATTGACCCTCAGAACCAATAGAGTTGTCCTTTATATGTGCACTTAGTTACACTATCTGCACTAAAATAAAGTAGATATATATTTGATATTTGATGAGGAAAAGAGAGAACAAATAAAAATAAAATAAAAAGATTACAAGATACTTCCGAAAGTGCAGCTATAGAAAACAGATTTCAGAGTTATTTCCTTTTACTGAAGTAAATGCACTATCTTACACTATTTCTCTTTAAGCTCTGAAAGTGTACGGTTATGGGTAGAAGGTGTACATAATTTTTATATAAGTGTAGAACGCATCGGTTTTATCCAATAGGTGGATGGATTTTCCAGTGGAAGAATTTTCTTATTCGGCAAGACGGATGTGTGTGAAACTTATACAAAAAATTACAGCACCTTTCTGTCACATTATATATATATTGTTGTATAGTATATGCAGTTTAGCAATAGAAAACGAACCTCTCGTAATTCTCATTAACGCTGTTTCTAGTGCACGTTTCTTGGTGAATCGTGCGGAAATTAGGTTAGAAAAGCTAAGAATCAAATATTTCAAAATGTATCTTATGTATTATTTGGATACCAATGGAAATCGAGTATACACTTTAAAGGTAATTATTGCCTGAAATATTAAGTTGTTATTTAATATATTATTTATTACTTTAATGCTTTTTAACTATAAAGATTATATATATATCGCATACTTTGCATGTTCTGTTTTATTTCCAAATATCCTTGTCACTGTATTTCTTTTAACGCTTGATATTTTGTATTTTAATATTTTTGTTATATATTTAAATGCAGAAACTTGATCCTACTGGGAAACCTACATTGTCAGCACATCCAGGTAATTTATTGAGAATAGTTATATTTTTATTATGTTTTTATATATGTATTTATATGTTATATTACACCCATACAAAAAATATGAATATTTATTGTTGTAGCCCGATTTTCTCCAGAGGACAAATATTCAAAAGAAAGGATTACAATAAAGAGAAGATTCAACTTACTTTTGACACAGCAGCCCTTACCTGCTTATTGAAATATATGTATATTTTCTATTCTTATATATTTCATACATTATTTTATATACAAATATAAGATGTAAGCATAGAAAAACATATAATAGCTTGGAATGATGTCATATACCTTGATACAATAATCTATACCCATATCGACAGACAGAGGTAGTTCAACTTGAACACCCACAACTTCCTCCAGTGATAAATATGAAAAATATATATTTACCCAGTGTCATTATACTATCATGAAGTTATATTCGCTATCATAGAGACTTCTAAAATGTCAGATTGTTCCTAATAGAAATTTGTTTCCTAAAATATGTTATATATATATATATATATATATATATAATGTTATTAATATTTAATAATAACATATATTTAGAAATATGAATGAAATATGAATAAAATGAGGTAAATAAAATAATATTTCTAATATATATATTTCTGTTAATATATTTTATTTACAATCCATTATTTGCCTACATTATTTATAAAAAATAAAAATTTTGTTATATACAATATTTTTTTAACTTGAAGTATAATATAGTTTTATTTAGAAAATTCCTAATATGATTATGTAGGTGCAATCTTATAAAGTTAACGTAAATCTTTGCTCTTGTTTGGTAGTTTGCTAAATTATGTATAAAATAAATATTATAATGATAAAAATTGAAATACAAAGCTGATATTAAATTTCGACTGACAACTTTTTACAATATTACTTATTCTTAATCTAATACTATTTTTAATCAATAATATGTCAACATGTATGATTTTATTGATTATATCTAAACTAAAAACTGTGACAAAGTTATAATCTATATCTATATACGCATAATTTTACGTACATGGATGAACATGTAACATTAGCTGCAAATTTATATTTATTTTGTATTGTTCATCACAATAATTAATTATTGATCAAATGCAAGTATTTAATAACCTGAGAGTTTAATATCTATATCTATGGTTATTATACAAATTTCAAGATGACTCATTGATATTTATAGATCAAATACGTGATTGTATGTTTTGTATGGAATTAATACAAGAAGAGTATATATATACTTTATATCATATCGTATAAATCATATTTTATAAATTGAAAAGAAGCAATATATCACAAACAGTATACAAAATGCCAATGTTACATGTCCTACTATATTTATATATCATATAACAAATACAAATATGTATAATCTATGGCTAAACGCAAAGATACTAAATTATAATATTACTCGCATATATGTTTATATATACAAATGCATTGTATCTAATGTTTTTTTTTAATATATAGCATATATTTATTTTTATATTATGCTACAATGTAATTTTGGTGTGCATTAAATCAGGACAATGCTTCTTGATTTATTTCAGAGTATTAAATTTATAAACAGATTATAATTTAATAATGTAAATATAAGATATTAAACTGAAGTATTAAGTAAATTGAAATATTAACTCAACTGAATTTTTTCAATTATACCTTTCAATTATATAAATCAATGACAAAAACATAAATATAATCATTTAATTAAAAATTATTGGTTTACTTTTGCAACATTAGTGCAAACCAACATATATAATATATAATATATTATTCTAATTATTAGATACACAAAAAATAAAATACTGAAATTTTAAAATATATTTTGTTAATTACGTTAATATTTATTCAATTAAATATATATGAATATTTGGTTTAACTTGTTACTAAAAATCTTATGATTATGTAATAATGGGGGCAACAAATATAATAAAAATATAGATCTTCTAATGTTACACATACATTGTTTAGTATAAATGCTTTTGCTTCCTGAAGAAATTATAATATAATAAACATGTTTCTATATAAATATTCAGTTCTAAAATAATATAAATTTAGAAGATATGTAAATATTAATAATAAAAAACGAGAGTATTATGATATTTTACTTACAAAATAAAAGGACTGTATATAAAAGGATTGTATATAAAAAACTATATTCTAGAAAATATGGCAACAGAAGAGAAATTTTTCTGACAATATCCAATTCTGATTAATAAATGTTAACAAGTAATGTAAACAGTGTAATATATTTTGTTCTTTCTCTATATACACACGCGCACTATACACTCAAATTTACTTAATATATAAATATCATTGAAAAAACACATTTATTTTTATATAACATTAAATAAGTTTCTATTTTATGTACCAAGACTGTTTGCAATAATTATTATATTACAATTTAACAAATAGAAATATGTAACACTTATTCACTTATATGAATATATTATTAACAAATATTTACACAAATTTCACATACTTGTATTTAATGTAAGAAAAACTGTTATATTACCATCTTAATATTAAGATGGCATAAGATATATTTAAACAAATAAACAAATAAAGGGTTAGCATTTATACAGATATAAATTACCAACAAATATATATTACATAAGATGTAAAATTATTGAAAAGGAATCTTATTTATGATGTCACGTATATAATGCAACAAAAAAATATATAAGTACATATTTTGGAGCAAGAGTAAAATAAACTTTTCTAATGTTTATATTCCATATGTAAAATAGAATTATTAGGAAATAAGGTATCTTCCAGTATCTTTTTTTTTATATGATCCCAGTTAGCACAGATCTCCAAAGGTCGTCCTAAGGACGTCCTAACGTCCTAAAAACGTTCCCAGTACACCCTTAGGACGTCTTTTGAAGGTTTTGTGCTGTCTAGGATTATTATAGATTACGTTATTGCAATAACATACATTAATTTTTGACAAAATTATTGTTGAAATACAAAATACAATTAGAAATATCATAGACAGATACCTTCTCAACCAATATAAACCTATGTTTAGTTACAAAGAATGCGATTTCTGAATAAAAATCTTTACAAAATTAAAATTATTTCAGCTATTAATTGCAAAATCCAAATTTCCTAAAAAATGCATAGCTTTAATACAGTAAAAAATTAAAGATAACTTTCACATATAGCTTTTCTACATTTTCCATATTGATTTGTTCATTCCAGACATTTTATATTGATTAATGTAATTTATCTTTTATCTTTTATGTAAATTCAGAGATGAAATATTTTATACATTCGCTCATTTTGACATAGAAACAACTCAAATCCTTTCGAAAACAATTTCTAAATAAGGCCATTCGCGAATTTGCCATTGCGTAAAAGATGTTTTTAACAACAATCTATACACCTTTAATTCGATTCTGATGGAGCAGCTGGGAGAACATGCACTTGTTGTGCTTTACTGGCATTATACACTTGTCCTGGACTAAATGGTTCTAATCGAGGACCAGATCCTACATCATTTTTATTACGGACGACATCTTGAAATAGAAAACAAATGGAATAATTACAAAAGTTATTACAAAAGTTTGTACAACCAAGTGGCAAAAGTGAAGATTGTTTCCTTCGAGTAGAATTAAATATTTCTAAATAAGAATTTAACTAATTAATTTGTTCACGAACCATTTAAAATAGATTGCGCGTGTATTATATACCGTGTAAAATTGCTCGAACTTACCGTTTTTCGACTCTGCTGCGGGTATATATCGAGACAATCTAACAACGGGAAGAGGCAAATAACCACTTGTCAGAGGCATCACATCTAGAGTAACGCTTTGTTTCTCTAATATTTCTAATGATACAATGCCTGCAGTCCGGCCACACACTGCCCACATAGTTTGGTCCGCTAGAACCTCGTACATTAATTGTGGTGGAGGATTCGAACTAAGACTAGGTAACACACGCATCACCGTAAGACAGAGATGGCACATACTACCAGCGCGACAAAATTCTCCTCCACCACCACCCGCTTCAACTTTCGAGGATACCGTGAACAAAGTCTGGAAAGTATCATTACGAATCAAAAGTTAATGTTATATGATTTCAATGTACATACAAAATGTCATACTTTAAATTTTACAAGTAACGCTAGTAATTACAATTTTATAAATTATCATTGATCTGATCGTTCTTATAAAAAATAAGAAAAATAAAAAGATGAAGAAATAAAGATATTCAAATATGTAGATTTAGTGAGTTTATTATTAGTGAGGGATGCTATAGGAAATATAGTTATTAAAAACCAATTAGTGAGGGATAATTAATAAGGAATAGTTTTACTTAAAAGAATAATTATTACTTATAATAAGAGATAATTGTTCTTACCACATAATCTGTAATATCAAAATTGCATCTGTAAATGCTACACGTTTTCTCGATTTTCTTTAAATTATGTATATGCAGTGGATCGTCGTCGACGTATGTATCGTTTAACTTTTCAGTATCACTAATTGGTATATATTTTACACGAAAGTCAGTCTTTATTGGTATCGTAGATTTCTCGTCCTTTCCAATATCGAGTTCCCACATGAAGGAAACATTCATCCCATTACCTATCACTAATTTTTGACCGGCGACAGGATTTAAGCTTTTGAAATTAATGTCTATTGATGTAATGGTCGTTAATTCAGGTTCAGTTAACTGCAAAAGCTGATTTGTTAAGCCAATTACGACTATTTGAACGAATTTCCTTTGTTTCGCCGTATGGAGTTTCATGCTCGACATTAATGGTGGGCCAAAATGTAAAGATATGCTTTCTTCCGAGCCCCATGGACATTGTATATTCAACTGGAAAAAAAATATACAGATTGTAACATTTATCAGACAGAAGAGAATAACGTGTATGTGAGAGAATGAGAGTGTAAGAGAGAGAGAGAGAGAGAGAATGATTTTTATATAAAAAAAAGTTAGATACTTTATGTTCCATAGACGAAGAATCCTTCTTTGGTGGAAGTTCAGCTAAAACTTTTAGCTGCATGTTTAATGTTTGAAATGGTTCACAATTTAGCAGTGGTATCTCTAATTCCTTTACCATTCCTTTCTCGACACTTTGCGATTGCACTGTCAATCCACGTGATGTACGTAGTTTCAATTTCATTTCTTCAGTTATCTTTGTACTTCCACTTGAGATGACCAATTCGATGTCCTGACTGAGACCTGCTAGTAAATCTCTCCCGCAATTTATAGATATTGTCGGTTGTGTCTTTGCCACTTCGTAGCATAATCGTGGATTTAACACGGATGATAAAAACTCCAACTTGCCTTCTATTATCATCGACAACTGACTAACTTTGTACAAACCCGGCTGATTTATTCGCCTCACTAGCACGAACGTGTTCGCACCAGGTTTCATAATAAACTCATCACACGAAAGCGCTTTACTAAAATCGCCCTTTGCATTGACCGACGGTTTCCTATGTTTCGCGCTATCTGAACGTCTTACAAACGGCTTCATATTTTTACTTATAACACTGGCGGATCCAAGACTTCTGTCCTCCTTGTAATCCAAATAACAATATACTTGCAAGTGTAACAAACTCGGATCGAGTGGCTTCATATCTTCTAACGTGCATTTCGATAAGCTGAAACAATGTTATCATACAAGTGAAAAATAACAATATAATATACGCGACTCCTCCAACTTATCAATACTTACAGTTGTACTGAAGGCTCAATGGATGCTTTCAACCCTTTCTTTTTATTAGGTATAGATGGCTTTTGTATTTCTTCTACGGAAATCGCGGCACTAGTGCATCTTACTTCTCGAGGAAATGAGCTCTGTACACTAATTTCAACACTAACAACACAGTCTTGCACCACTTTGTCCATTACCTTAACTTCCATACTGAGTATTGTGAAAGCACATCCAAGCTCTGTGAGTAACGGCTGAGGTGCAGAGATCATTTTCATGTATCCTAACATTTCCTCAAAGTATGTGTTGCGCACGGTTATATGCAAAACGTTTGTACTAGCTACTGCGGCACACACTTTAGTATACTTCTCGACATCGTCCATCCGTTTGTAACACTCGGCTAGTTCAAGTTGCGTCTGCGCCGCCAAGTGATTCCACCCTTCGTCCATGTAAGTTTTCAAGGCATCGGACAAAAACGCAATCGCCTTCTGATTTTCACTAAGTTCGCTATAGAAACGCGCCAATTCCTTGCCGATTAATCTAGCCGATCGAATGCGACCGACGTGTTTGTACGTGCCCATGGCTAACTCCGCATGCTCAAGGTATTGTTTCTTGAACGCTTCTTTGGATGAGAGCGCCTCCTTCAATTTGTCGGTGGGTGTTAATTTACCCTTTACTTGTGGCTCTGAATCGCCTATACCCGCTATAAGGTATACAACTGTATGTAACTGCTCACTAGTTGGTTCGCTTCCTGGCATTAGGCCGCATAATCTCCCTAAGCTTCCTAACTGAAAAGAAAAATGTACAATAAAGACGAATGAAAAACTACATTTATATCCATATTCGTTACCATATGCATCATTTCATTCTTTTTATTCTCAATATCTTACATCAATATTAAACATAAAATTTTACTAAATCCAAAATCTAAAAGTAAAATTGAAACTTAAGATTTTAAGAAAAGAGAAAAATATACATTCAATATATACATATTAAATTTTATTTACCTTATCTCTTGCAAGTGCCCACAAACTAGCGGTATGTAAAGAGCATAAATCCAACTGTTGATTGTTATCGATATTATAGGAGGACAATTGACACGCTTGCAAAACTTCCAATGCACAGAGGAATGACCAACATTCTATGGATCCTTCGGGTTTCTGTACTTCTAAGATCTTGAGTTCACTCAATGTATTATGAACAAATGACAAACATCTCTGTGCAACCTATTCAAGAGTATTATTTAGAGATATATAAATTAATTATTAATAATCACTGAATTTCTTCACACCTACCTCCCAAGATTGATTAAGCAACAGTAGCATGGCACATTGTCTACTAAACAAATAGCTCCTAAGATCTAATAAAGATGCTCTACACTCTGCCAAGAGAAACCTTAAATGATGATTTGTACCATTGTTTAGATTTACACCTCCCCAGTTGTTGAGAGGAATTTGAAAGAGGCTTAACCAGCCTGGAGTATCTACAAACAGTTTGCCTATCTTTAGGTTTTCACTTTGCATTAACGTCTTTACATTTATTGCTTACATTAATATATATCTTTATTGGAGATTATACTTCGAAAAGCAATTACTATACCTCCTACATTAGAATTGAGCACAAATTGTGTAAAGAGAGCATCTAGTTCGTCATACTGCACCAATGCTTCGTCATACAGGCCTAACATTTGCAACGCGAACGCCAATTCTTCCTGAAATACCAATTCAACTTTGAAGTAAAAAAGTGAGGTTTTCAAATTTACCAAGATTAATATTAGACTATCTAGTGAAAAAAAAAAATTCAAAATGAACTTCTCACTACCTGTAGAAGAAAATAATGACAGAAATTCCAACTAGGATTGTTTCGCCTTTCTCTCTGCTCGCGTATAATATCTTCAAAGCGCGAAAGAGTTCTATCGTACGCAGTTAACATCAAATGACGAATGCGGGTTATCAAGCCTCTCCATGATTCAGCCGAACGAGATTCAGATTTAATTGGATTAATTACAGCAAAGCATCTGATGATCACAGATATAATTTTTAGAAAGAAAAATGTCCTCTCTCTTTCTTTCTACGTGTGTGTGTGTGTGTATGTGTATGTGTCATAAAATTGATTATAGTTCATACACATCTATGTCTGGAATACAATAATCAAATTTGTATTAATTATAAGTTAAATATAATTACCTATCTCCATTCTTGGCAGCAAAGTCACTCCGTATTTTATCTAAGACAGTAGTCCTAGGCAATAATTTATTGGCCTTCTTTATGTCATATGTCTCCACTAGCACAATCATCCAATCTTGGATGTGGTATGAATTCAGTATTTTTAACCAGGCATCAATATCATCTCTGACACTAGCTTTATAAGTATCAACATCCTGTAAATATATATAAAACATATATACAAATATAATTAAATATTTAAAATTCTTTTGTTTTAATGATTCTAAACATAATTTCATATAACAACTAGCTTAAGAAAGAGAAATGATATTCTAGATGTTCATGCAAATTTTTTATTTATTTCATATAAGATATAAAAATCTCTACAAAAAAACTTACGGAGCATTCACTCCAATAAATATGAAAGATTGGTTGCTTTATAAGGTGCCAATCTTTTTCAGTGGGCAATATATCCCTAGAAAATGGCACAAAGGTAGCTCCAAGTTTAACTTGTTTAATTGGCCTGCTAAATGATCTACGCCATTCTACTGTGTCTGCAGGTATAGCTTGTAGTAAACTCTTTTCCAATGTAGAAAACAGATTTTCATCTCCAGCACCTATATTATTGTAATATTTATTACATTCTTATCCTATAGTACTTTATCACATGCTTTTAATTTACATCTTAAACCAGTGCATTTACACAGAGCAAAGTACATTCAACAAGAATAAAGAATCAATCATACAAGATACATATATATATATATATATCACGAAACAAAGTCCATCATGTATTAATGTCAAATCATTGATAAGAAATTTTTTTAACTGTCTGAAAGGAGCGTTTAATTTCCCAAAAGAACCCAGGTTATATGGATTATTAAAAAAATATTAAAAATATTCCTAGAAAACATATGCTTGTCTCATATATAGCTTTGAGAAATCGAATGAACCGTATATCAGCAAGCTCGAAAATATACATTGTTCGATTCAGCGAATTTGATTTAACCAATAGACAATAGTTATTTCGAACGACGGAATATAAGGGAGAAATGTTGTGGAAGTTGACAGGTAAACAGGAAGTTGAGGGCGTCGATGACAGCGGGCGATAGGGCGGCGTGGAGTCATCAATGGCATCGTGTAGAGGTTAAAAATGCTCGACGTTGCACGACGGAACTCACAAGTGACGATTGGTTTGCTATCCATGGGAGCACTTGCTTTGCACTCTTCGCCAGCCACGGACGTCCCTCCATTGCTGTTCATATCTAAAGACTGGCGACTGTGAGCTCGCTGCTCCCGATCGAGCTTTCAATCATTACAATTCTATACGTCACTTTCGTCACCTCGCGTGCGTGAATCCTCGACCGCGCTCGATTTGGAGCTCACGCAAGTCGATCACCCGATGTGACTCGCGGCAAGCTCAGAATCTTGCCACGGTAAACAATTGGCGCGGAGGACTAGAGACAATTATGTGGCTCAAACATTTTACTTCGCACTTTCCAGCCTCATTGAGGTTGGAATTGGACTCCTTAGGTCTGTTTTTTATCGCTGAACTAGTGTACACTCAGGGAACATGAAAAGAAATAGATATACATTTAGGAGTTAGTGAAAGGGAGAGAAGATGACGAGTGTAAGTTAGTACAGCCAGTTCAGCAATAGAAAACAAACCCCTCGTACTGACGATATAATAGGCCTGTTCGTTTTGTCTGCACTACTGAACTGGTGCAACAAGTAGAAGTGAGAAAACCTATGTTTGTCTCACTTTAACTTAATGCACCAGTTCAGCAGTGCAGACAAAACGAACAGGCCTAATGCTAAAGACAGAGAAGAACCTGAGAGCGGCCAACACGGCGTTTTCGGCGACACCAACTTTCCGCACTAGAGACCCTACAATAAAGAGTCTGGACATCAGAGCTTCGGCGTAATTGGTTCATGGACCGGTGGCCTGAAAATGGCGGCACCAATAGAAAACCTTGCTTACTTAGCGCGAACGGGTAGATAATTTGGATGTCAAGTAATGTGTTTTCTGGATAGCGTCATATATTATTTTATTTAGCATCAACACATGAAAAGTAAAGAATTTCATAAACGAATATTTCGAAATTCAATATTTATAAAAAAAATGTAATATATTAAATGAATTTTTGCAGAGGAACATATATGGGTCCATATCCTAAACTTAATTTTATTGATAAAAGTACCTGTAAAAGTGACTTATAAAGCTTTTAATTGGTTATAACTAATTTTTAGAGACACTTTGATAAAAGGAAAGTTTAAGTATGGACCTTAAAATCAATATTTCTATTAATAGAATATAAGTGAAATGCATTGTAAATGGGAATAAGAGAAATAATAACATAACGAAATATAAAATATATAATATATTTAATGCAGAATATTTATAACAATAATATATACAATGTAATATATGATATATTTGATATATAGGGTGTCCCATTTTAACTTTCGCATTAAAAAATTTCGAAAATTATGAAAGATATTAAAAAAAGCTAAAACATGTTTTCCATGATTCCAAAGGGAAAAAGAATGGCATTATCAGTTTTTTATTTGGGAGGCATTTTCAAGGTCAGTTGGAGGTCAACTTAATTTTTTTAAATAGAAAGCATAATTTTTTATTATATCTTCTTTTTCTACCAATTAATTTTAATAATTTTTGTCTGAAATATTTTTTTATTTGCCTAATATTTTTTGAAATATTTAAGGAAAACTTGGTAACTTTTCAACATTTAACTTACGATATCTCGTTAACTATTCGTCGAAAGAAAAAATAGTATTAGACTTCCAACGCGCCGCGCGCGCGTACGCTCGGATGAAGAGGCCACGAGCGCGATTTCCCGGGCGGCACTCGGACCGCCGCCCCTCACGGAGGCGAATTTTCCCCCGCTCGCGAGGGCGGGCGCGGTGCGAGGCGAAGGGACGCCGCCGGTTCGGAGGGTGGAGGAGACACGCGCGCGAGATACTGGCGAGAGAAGCGCCGGAGACGTGTCCGGTCCGCGGGGAGTCCGCGGCATGATGGGTCGGCGGGGAGCGCCCGCGTCCGTCGATGCGCGTCCGGATGCGATTCGGGCGACTGCGTTCCGCTCCGGGTTCCCGCGCGGGCGGCGGCGCGACGCGACTCGCTAGGGTGCCGCGGAACCTGCCGATGGCGGCGCATGGTCCTCGAGACGCGCGGGATGCCGCTCCGGACGTTGAGAGACGGACGAGGCGTCAGCTCGCCGTTGAGAGGACGCGGCTCGTCGACGCGGCGGATTCCGTGGCGACGCTCGCCGAGCTCGAGGATCTGGCGATCCAAGTCGCCGGGTTCTTCGGGGGAGGCGAGCCAGGGCGTGGCGCGCCGTGCGCTCGTCGGCCGCCGCCACGCCGGTTGCGTGAGGCCGACGAGGAGCGGCGAGGGGAGAGGGACGCGCGAGAGGGTGGCCGTCAGGGGGAATTGGCACCGGCCAATGTCCCCGATTTTTTCGGAGAAGACGGCCGGAACAGAACTCGTGAAGCAGCGCGAATACAGGCGCTCTTCAGGAGGAACCGACGCAGGGCAGTTCGAGAAGTGTTAGCCGGTCCCGCGGAGGTCTGCGATTTGCCGACAGACGTGGTACAGGCGCACTTCGAAGAGCTGTATCGCGGAGGGGACGACCTGCGGGGTGCCGAGCCTGCGGAGCGAGCCGACGCCCCGGGCGGGGACGGCGGTGCGGCGGCGCTGATGGAGCCGTTCACGGAGCGAGAGGTGTGTCGTCGGCTCCGGCGTATGAATAACTCTGCGCCGGGTTCCGACGGCATAACCTACAAGGACCTCCGTGCAGCGGATCCATCGGCGCGGCTGCTCGTCGCCCTCTTCAACGCATGTTTGCGGCTCGAGGCGGTTCCTGCCGTCTGGAAGACCTCCAACACGGTATTGGTGTATAAGAAAGGTGACCGCGGTAATATTAATAACTGGCGCCCTCTCGCGTTGGGGGACACCCTGCCCAAACTCTTTGCCGCCGTGTTGGCCGATCGCATTACCGAGTGGTGTGTGGTCGGCGGGAAGCTCAGTCCGGCTCAGAAGGGATTCCTAAGGGACGAGTTGTGCTTTGAGCACAACTTCGTCCTGCAGGAGATCCTGACTGATGCCCGGAGGAGCCGCAGGGAGGTGGTAGTCGCGTGGCTAGACCTTTCCAACGCGTTTGGATCGGTTCCCCACGGGGCGATCCGCCGCGCACTGATTCGCGCGGGCGCGCCAGCGGGCTTCATCGCCGTATGGGGCTCGCTGTACGATGGTTGCACCACGCGGGTGCGAACCGCCGACGGCTTCACTGCGCCCATCCAGATTCGTTCGGGCGTATGCCAGGGATGCCCGCTGAGTCCGATCGTGTTCGACCTCGCGATCGACTCGGTACTGGTCTCCAGGACGCCCGACGAAATGGAACGACTGCTCGCAGTCGCGGTGAACGAGGCATCGTCGGTCGGGTTGCGGTTCAACCCTGCCAAATGCGCCACCCTGCACATCGGTGCAGGCGGAGCGGGCAGGGTCCGACCGACGACCCTCCGGATCCAGGGCCAACCGGTCCGTGCAATGGCCGAGGGCGAGGCCTATGAGCACCTCGGCATACCGACGGGCTTCGGGGTCAACCAGACTCCGCATGCTGCCATTAGGGTGCTGCGTAACGACTTGGCGTCGGTCGAGCGTTCCCTCCTCGCTCCGTGGCAGAAGACTGAGACCGTGGCGACTTTTTTGTTGCCGCGGCTTGACTTTTTGCTGCGGGGAGCCGCAGTGGAGAAGGGCCCTCTCAAGGAGCTCGACCTGCAGATCCGCAGGTCCTGTAAGATGTGGCTCAACCTCCCGCAGAGAGCGAGCGCCGAAGTGGTCTACATGCCCCCTCGCAAGGGGGGATGTGGGCTACTTCCTCTAGCTGACCCCGCCGACGTCCTCTCGATCGCGCACGTCTTCCGTCTTTTGACGACGGACGACCGCGCGGTCAGGGATCTGGCTTGGGCGTCTCTGCGGGGAGTGGTTGCACGCCGCATCGGCCACCCCCCTGGTTGCGACCAGATCGCCGTCTTTCTATCGGGGTCACTCGAGGGGGGGCTGAGGGGAGGAAGGGAGCGCTCCCTGTGGTCGAGAGCGCGGAACGCCGCGCGTCATCAGTCGGATCGCTGCGCCATCCGGTGGCTGTGGAGCGAGGAGCGCCGCGAGCTCGTCCTTCAATGTCGCGGTCCGCGGGGCAGGATCACCAAGATCCCACCTGGGGCTCGTGCCCAGGTGATCGGACGCCTGCGTGCTGCGGTGGCGGAGTGGTATGATACCACCTTGTCGCGGAAACCAGACCAGGGGAAGGTGTTCGAGGTGTCGTCTCGTCATCGAGTGAGCAATCACTTTATGCGGGGCGGCAGCTTCACCCGCTTCGCTGATTGGCGTTTTATCCACCGTGCTCGTCTCGACGTGTTGCCGTTGAACGGTGCACGTCGGTGGGGAGAGAGTGATAGACGTTGCCGGCGATGCGGGGCGGAGTCCGAGACCCTTCCTCATATGGTCTGTCATTGCGGACCCCACTCCGCCGCGATCCAGTGGCGTCACGATTCGATCCTGCTCCGACTCAGCAGGGCTTGCCGTCTGCCAGGGAACGTGACCGTGAACCAGCGGGTCGAGGGCATCGATGGGGAACTCGGCGAGCTACGACCTGATCTCGTGATCAGGCACGAGCCGTCGAAGAGTGTCGTCATATGCGATGTCACGGTGCCATTCGAGAATCGGCCAATAGCGCTCGAGGAAGCTAGGGAGCGTAAACTCGCCAAGTACGCTCCCTTGGCGGAGGCGCTCGGTCGACTCGGGTACCGTGTCGTCGTGACGGCCTTCGTCGTCGGTGCGCTCGGCTCCTGGGATCCGCGCAATGAACCTGTGCTGAGGCTGCTGCGTATCGGCAGTACGTATGCGTCCATGATGCGCAGGCTCATCGTGTCGGACACCATACGCTGGTCCAGGGACATCTACGTGGAGCACGTCTCTGGCGTCCGCCAGTATAGGGCTCCTCCACGCCGAGCCGATGGCGGCGTTCCCGATGTCTCGCCGCCGCGCGCGATTTGCCGCCGTGTGGCCGGCCCGCGAGCCGACGAGGCGGCGGAGATATAAATGTTCGAGCGGATGAATGTCGCGTGGGGCCACCGGCTGGAGAGGTGTTCCTGCAGCAAAAAATAAGTTCTGTATTTATTTATTATATTACTTATTTATTTATTTATTTATTTATATACTTATTCATGTTTATTTATTTGTCCGTCCTCGGGAGGGTTGACTGCCGCGGGGACGGTGGCGGATGTGCTCCGCCGTCGCGCACGCGGCTGATATTTCTTTTTAGAAGGCGGACTGCATTATATTATACTTATTTTTATGTTATTTTAATTATTTAGTTTATATATGTCGTGTTGTCTGAAATGTGGACTGCCGCGGGGGGGGGGGAGGGGCGGAAACCCTCCGTCCCTGTCCCCGCGGCTGAAATATTTTATGATGACGGACGTTAATTAGGCTCAATGTACATATATAGAAAGAGTGGGCTTATTTATTGTTTTATTTGTCTTTAATTTTATTTTTATGTAATGTAAATGGAAGACGTGCCTTATACACACGGACTTACCATGCGTTCTCAGGCCCCTCTCCCAGCTTGGTGAGCCGTCGGAGTGTGTCGCGAGGATAATCGAGTGTGGATGTCGCGTATCTAACAGGTTGGT